ACTTTCCGATTTGTGGAACGTGTTGAGATTCCTCAATGAAGAATTTAAAATCTGAATGACGTGCAAGTACACCTTATCCCTCGTCAGATTTCATTCGTCCTTGTACAGTCAGAACAATCTATTTTAGGTGGTTGGAATTCTTGCGCAATTGTATCGTTTAAATGTAGCTCTCAGGCTGCGTGGATTATCAGCTGGTAGTCCAGTCTTAAACGCAAATATGTTTGTGAAATATTTTATCCGTTGGTGAGTTGTAATAATACTAGGAAGTGCAGTCATGACCAATATAATACTGGATCGCGGGCAACGAATTGGTCGGTCGTCCTTCATTCAATATTAATATGAAGTCCTTTCGACTAGTGCTATACATTACCAAAGAAAATTAAATTTGAAAAAGAGTAAACTAGATCAGCGTATTTTCTGCGTTTCGTTCTGTTCGATAAAATTAATTGGGGCTAAATATTACGAAAGTTAGTAGTCCATGTCTCTCGCTAGAATTTATCCTTGGCGATATGCCACAACTTCACAAAATATTCATGAACTTCCATTGCTTATGATTCCTTTTCTGTTTCTTATACTTTAGTTAATAACTTCAAATGCCCACGTAATTTATTACATCTATTTTAGGGCTTTTTAGATTGTTAGAGGACGTCCTACGATTGTTTCTGCAATTCATCTCGTATTGAGTTATATAAGACAGGAGTGTTTGTATGAATTGCAACATTCAACGAAAGGTAATTTGGAACGATGATATTAAATTGTAGCTATCTGCAACCATCATAGAATATTAACCAATTTCTATTTGGTTGAAAATCGTCGATGATTGATTCGTTTTTGTTGCATTTCTACTTCTCTAATGGCAGTATGAATAATTCGTTTAACGATTAATTTTTGCAAGGTTCAGCGATGTCAAGTAGTTAAATTTATTACCAAAAGTACGTAGTTGTCTATTTTTGTCTATAGTTTTTGTCTATAGTTATCTATTCTATGTTTAGTATTAATTTATATAACGGCACTAAAATACAATGTATACGCCTTTTTGTCTCTCGCCCCGCGATATCTTGCAAGAAAACCTTAGTAGGTGTCCGCCTCCAATTTTTTACATTTTCACATATGTTGTAGTACTCGAAAAATTAAGCGACACGTGTTTTTTCTTAGCGGCCCAAATTGGGTTTTTGGGGGGTGAAAACAGCCCCCCGAAAATTGGGGTACTAAACACCCATTTAATTAGTTCACATATAACAGCGGTATCTTTCACAATAAAATCAACTGGAAAAATTTGCTCACAACGAGACATGAAAAATGACATTTTCTATGATTTGTAAAAAAAAAATATTATGGGGGTAAACTATCCCAAAATTATTTTAGAGTATGCAAAACCATCATAAGTGCAGTTTACTGTTGGTATGTTTTCATAAAATAAAGGAGCTTATATTACATAAATTTACATTATCAGAAGTACGCGTTACATTAGGAAAATGTGAAATACCAAGCAATTATTATAACAAATATATTTATAAGACCAGCAAGCATTATCAGTCTTTATTATTCATTGTATGCGGTACACTAATGATGCTCTCCGAAGAAATTGTACATACTTATTCCGGTTATTAATTTTAACATACGAATAATTTTGTAAGTTATGAGGTTAGCTTGGCAAAATATTAATAAGCGAATTACAACAACAAATTTTGTAGCAGAATTTTGATAAAATTATGACGTTTGCTTCTAGTACCCATATATATGTATTTTTGTGGCTATGTAACTAATATAGTTGGTATATTTTAGTAGGTTACTATGGGTTATTGATAACGATTTTACTGTGAATATTGCAGACTTGTAAATTACAGATAAAAATGGCGTACAAACATTTTTTTTAGTTTTCAACAAATTTGTATCTTTGCGAACATTTGTATATAATGATCTTCTTGGTCTTTGATTACGATTATGATATGGAAATTTTAAATTTAAAAATGGCAGATTCAATATGATAAATGAAAATGTGATTTTTCTTCTACATTAGTAATCAATATTTACGAAAATTTGTATGTAGTAACGAGATTCAAAAATTAGACTGATTCGGTTCCTTGCGAATTTGATTTTTATTTACGATACTGAAATTGTCATATTAAAATTTGAAATTAGAACATTAGAAAACAATTAGAACATAGAAATTAGAAATTGTAATCAGCGACTTCGAAAACCCCTATATAAAAAGTTCCATAAAGATTTATCTTGTAGCGAATGAGTTTACAAAATATTAGTGGGAAAACTTTCATCTTCAATGAAGACCCTAATGTGAGGCAAAATATTCTTAACGTATTTCCCAACAAGGCAATCACGTACCTTATTCACTGCATGCACGTTTCTTATATTTTACAGATCGGACTTTTACATAATACATTATGTATATTACGTAGAATTTCATAAAATTTATTCATTTTTGAAGGAGCTAACGTGTTCACCCACGGTCATTTACTCGGGTACATTTTGCAGGAAAATGTTCATATGATTTGTTTGAGTGTCGATTTGCGTTATAAGGTTACACCCCAGTTTATGCGTCGTTACGGAAAATCACGTGCGTATCCAAGATAAAAAATGCAGACATGCATGACTGTGATGTTACTAATATTACGAAATACAAATAAACAGGATCGAAATCTGTAGAGTTGCTTGAAAAAAAAAACAGGATCATTTTCACTATCGAGTCTGACATTGTGTGGTAGTTGTTTGTAGATACAATCACATTTTTTAATTATTATTATATATATATAAGTCGTAATCACAGCTGTGTAAAGCTACCTCCCCTTTTTAAAAATATTAAAAATTTAACGGTTGCTCCAGTTTTTTCTACATTTATTCTAAATTGCTCCAAAGTTGTAGCAGAAAAACTTGTTCCGAGTACGTAATAATTGAAAAAAAGTGAAATAAGTCGGAACTCCCCTTTTGTCGAAAATTGTATTTTTGAAAATTGTTCCAGGTTGTTCTAGTTATTCCTGAAAGGGTGGCCGTTCACGAGTAAACTACCCTTCCATTTCCTGTTCTGAGAATTCTATTGCTCGTTCCAAGTTCTCATTCCTAATATCGTTGTTCTAAAGTTTGCTTGAGATATTTGTAAGGGTAAAAGAAATTTCATGATGCTGGAATTTCTTAATAGTATTCCGAATCAGTAGTATATGAATTTAAACAATAACTTTGTTCCAGATGAAGGTACATACCGTTAATAATGTTTTTGATCAAAGATAAGCCATTTAAAATCATTTGCGAAGTTAGCTGATTTGTAACATGGTGCAATTTATATATATTAAAAAAGCCTTAGGAATTTTGTCCCTTTCTAAAAGACTTTTATTTGTAGATGGCACGAAATAATAAAAATGCCATACAATAGAAAAGTGGTTATGAGAAAAGAAATTATAAAATGTGCAGTGTTTAATACGAAAATGTTAAAATGTTTAATACGAATCAGATCGTTTAATCAGTGGTGAAAGTGGCTACGAACATAAAAATAAGCTAAGACGTGTACATCACTGAACAAGTTAGACTTGTATGTATATACATAGAAAAGCACATCAAAATTATGGTGAAAAATACCTGCGGATTTGGTAGCTTGATCCCTACATTATTAGTTATGCGCGTAAATGATTAATTACAAAAAAACTATTAAAAATCTCAAATCAATGGCTATAAAATTTTGAAAACAATGTTATTAAGAGCGAGAACTACCTGGAACAACCAACAGAATTCTCAGAACAGGAAACGAAAGAACATTTTACTCTTGAATGGCCATGCTTTCAAATTAACCTTTTCCTGCGTTTTCTGGGTGAATGGTTACATACATATGACCTTGCCCTTTCGAAACAATATTAGGAACTACTGGAACAACGTGGAACAATTTTCAAAAATAAAATTTTCGACAAAAGAGGGGAGTGCGGGTTATTTCACTTTTTTCAATTATTACTGCCCTGGAACAAGTTTTTGTGCTATAACATTGGAACAAACGTAAAACAAACTGGTACAACCGTTAAGTTTTTAATTTTCTAAGAAATAGGGGCTCTTTGTCACACAGGTTCTAATCACCCAAAAAGCATTGTTGTACCTCACAGCTAATCCGTTTACCCCATTATGTTTTAAAAGTACATTCTTAAGTAGCTTGACAAGAGCGCTGTTTTTGATTGACCGTTTCTGTATGTATTTGAAAATATTTTTGTCATACCAGAAAGCAGCGATGGTTATGATTATCTACGACAGAGATTCAATAACATTTTTTTGTAATAAAAACGATGACTAACTCAATGCGACGAGATACCAAGAGTAAATAAAAGAGACCGTAAATAAAGGAGGGTTTGCATGGAATACACGAGTGAGGTACCCTAGACGATTACGAAGGGGCTGACTCACCTGTCGTCTGGCGTAATCTAGAACAAAACTCAATTATGAAATATTTCCTATAACTCGAGGGCCTTAAGTATTTACGCTCACTCTTGGATTCTCAGTATAGTTTTGATTTTTTTATTTAATAAAAATGCAGTGATACTTTTATTTGCGCAATTGGCAATGAATATGGAAAAAAGATTTCAAGGCGAAGAAACAAATTTTCAGTACATTTTTTGGATGTTCAATGAATCAAATCAAAGCCAATAGATACTAGATATAGGCGTAGATAAGATTATTAGTGAAGAGGCTCCGCGGGTAATAATAAAAGTATGAATATGTTGGTTTCATCCGACGTTTACTACGCAATATCTTGACTGTATATTATGTATATCCGTACTAGTATTTTCGTCTCTTTTACTTTGTTATAGTTTGTAAAATATGATACCTTTATAAGACCAACGTATTTGGGATCTAAATTATTCAATTCATATTTCTTCACCTTCCGATCCTTATGCATATCGCATATATATGTGCACCATTTTTACTTATAATTGTCTATAAAATTACCAATGAACGACTTAATACAAAAATAGTATCTCTTATTGTGTTGTTTAAATTTTGTGCTGCAGCTTTAGTTGGAGCACGTCATGTAGTGACGTTTATGCTCTTCCTGGGTATGGCCAATGCCTACATCATGAGGACCAATATGTCTGTGGCTATCGTAGCCATGGTCAATCACTCAGCCATCACATCAGAGGATGTTGTCACAGACGAATGTGGCGGCGAAAATAGCACCATCGAAGACACCGTGAGTATCAACTTTAAGCGTATTCCAATTTCATCTTGATTAGTTCTTTCTGATTAGTAGCATTAGCACTCTCCGACGACTATATTTGTGAGGACGCGCTCTATCTAATCTTGTACTTGTTGCGTGATTTTGCGGGCAGCAAATATATGTGTTTGACACTGTTGCTCGCGGCGAAATGCCAATGTCTGCGAAAGATTTTCTACAAATATTGAGGAGTTAACTCATGAATTATTAACTCTTGTGTTATATTCTGTGATAGTTTAGAATACTTTGATATCTACGTATTTTATATCCTAAAGAATAAATATATAAATGCGATATAATGAAGCTTTGCTCTTATGTCCCGAGTAAACATTTTTTAATGTGGGGAAAATCAATGAAAGATCTTATTTTGCAAGTGTATCTGATGTGTAGCGTGTCAGACTTTCCCTTACTGCTTGATTTACTTAAAATATGCGTTTGATATATAACATATTGGGAAGATCAATCTTAGATCAACCGAAAATCTATTAGACTGCAAGGTAGAGAAAGATCAATCTCAGGTCAATGGATGATTATTCATTTGGCTTATATTAATCTGCGAATTATGAAACGCATATTCTAAATTAATTAAGAGGTATGGGAAAGTCTCACTCGCCACATATGTGATACACGTGCAAAGTAAGATCTTTCGTTGATCTTCCCCATATCAAGAAATTTGTACCCGTGATGTAACTAATTTCGTCCTCGGAAATTGTGAAGCTACGAGGTGACTTGATATTTTTTTTCTTAATGTTCCAGAATGAAAGCGATGGCGAATTCATTTGGGATTCGGCGATGCAAGGATATCTACTAAGTTCTTTTTTCTATGGCTATGTGATTACACAGATACCGTTCGGTATTCTTGCCAAACGCTACGGTGCCAAATACTTTCTAGGCGTAGGGATGTTAGTCAATTCTGTATTTGGTCTACTGGTTCCCATGTCCGCTCATTGGGGATTCTATTGGCTGATGTTCATACGATTTATTCAGGGTCTTGGCGAGGTAAGGAATGATTGTCGCGGGCTCAGTTCATCCTGTGGGATAGACTGAAAGAGAATGCATGTGATATAGAGAGTCAGGATCGGAATAGATTGTCTTCTAGTCATGATTATATAATTGATATATTTTATAAAGATATAAGACAAGAAATAATTGCATACTCTTAAATGTGTATATTTCTTAATGATAGTTCGCCTACTCTATACTTTTGCTAGCTTTTGGCGTGATAAAGCTATTGCATATTGGGATTACCTTGATTAATTAGTCGAGACTAACGAACAGCGACAACGCAGAGGCACGCAGGTACCTTAATATCTTGGCTGATTAATCGACTCTTCTCGGTGCCTTGTCGAGTCCTGATTGGATTGATCGTCAAGTCTTAGTATATGTATATAGTATATGAATATATATATATATACGTATATGTACGCAAAAGTTAAGATTCAGGATTAAGGATCGTTGTGTGTGAACGTTTTTTGATTGGTCGGGTATGATTTCCTCCCCCTAGGAATGGATTATCCCTATTACAGGGTCCTATTGTGCCATGCACGCACGCCATGCTGGCCAAGTGGGTTCCACCGAATGAGAGAAGCCGCTTGGGAGCCTTTGTCTATGCCGGTAAGCACATTTGATATGAGTGAACTGATCTTAAATTTCTTCTACGTTAAACTGCTATAACGAGTTGCCTGCCCGTAGAAATAAAATCCCATTGCCAATTCTTTATTGCCAAAGATAATGTACGGTAAATCAATGGGAAACTAGTAATTACATTTGGCAAAAGGGCATTAGCAATGGAAAATTGTTCTACTTTTAAAGAAAGAAATCTTTCGAGTAGGTGAAACATTTTTCATAATTTATATTCCGTTGATATTCCTACAGGTGCACAATTTGGCACTGTTATTTCTATGCCATTAAGCGGCCTTCTTTCGGAATATGGATTTGCGGACGGGTGGCCTTCGATATTCTACGTTTTCGGTACTATAGGCACTGTATGGTGCATAGCTTTTCTGATCATGGTTTACGAAGATCCTGAGCAACACCCACGTATTACCGAAGATGAACGAAAATACATTTTGAGCGCGCTATGGGGAACAGCTGGTGTATCTGTAAGTATTTGTATTTCTCTTACGTGATGTTTATTAAACATTATATTTCCTCATGGTAAAACTGTTTTTTAGTCTCCACCAGTACCATGGAAGTCCATTGCCACTTCTATGCCGTTTTGGGCTATTCTTATTGCGCATATGGGTCAAAATTATGGCTATGAAACTCTCATGACAGAATTACCAACATTTATGAAACAGATTCTTCATTTCAATATTAAATCGGTAAGCGTGTCAATGTAAACTTATTTCAAACATATTTCGAAACTCAAAGTCATATTTCATGTAAAACTTTTACGCTTTACAGAATGGTACAGTTTCGGCTCTTCCATATTTGGCTATGTGGATCTTTTCCATGGTAGTTTCACACATCGCTGATTGGATGATTTCCACTGAACGATTAAATCATACTGTCACTCGTAAGATTATTAACAGTATTGGTCAGTATGGACCAGCCATTGCGTTAGCTGCAGCATCTTATACGGGATGTGATAAATGGCTCACGGTGGCAATCCTAACATTTGGAATAGGTTTTAATGGTGCTATTTACTCCGGATTTAAAGTGAATCATTTGGATATATCGCCACGATTCGCTGGAATACTCATGTCCTTCACGAATTGTCTTGCCAATCTCGCAGGCCTTCTCGCACCTATCACTGCTGGCCATATTATTATTGGCAAAGTAAGTATCAATCATTTTCAGTTAATGTCTAAGAGGATTGTAGATTTGAATCGGCCGTATTGTTTTTGGTGATTACGCGTATGAATAATTCATTGTCATATAAGTTGTGAAGAATAACGTTTGCAATAAAAATCAACAAATATGTGGTGGATACTAATATCAGTAGGTGCTAACGCTATAATCTGCCGAAAAGAGGTTAAAGATATTCCTGTAGTTTGTTTGATATTCTTTTTATTTGTCTGGAGACATATCTTTAATTGCTGATAATGTACACAAAGCTGCTACGTAAATGCACATGTCGATACATTTGAAAAAGAATTGTAACAATTCTTTTGACATATCTACGACAAATTACAGCGAAAGAATAGAATGAACTGATACAAAAATTATTGTTATGACTGACACTACAAAACTATCTAATTTTATTGAATCTCTTAGCTACACGTTCTACTAATATATGGTAAACGATGGCCTTGTTGAAAATTTTGCTAAATATGCAGTATATAATTTATATCGTGTAAAAATAATATGCTGTGTAGAAGCAGACTTTTTTTTTACCAATAATGAAATCAAAACAGTTATACTTGAGAATTATGCAGCGCTCAAAAGTATCCACAAGATGTGATATGATAAAGTTTATCTTTTGATGGCCCACAGTTCTCTTATGTTCAGAATGACTGACATTATAACTTTACAAAAAGCGTTATATCTAAAATTTAATTTTTGTTTTTAATTAATTTTGTTAGCCAACTCAAGCACAGTGGAGAATTGTCTTCATGATAGCTGCTGCTGTGTACATAGCATCCGCTACGTTTTATAATATATTTGGTAGCGGTCAACGACAGCCATGGGATAATCCGGAAAAGGATGTGGATAGGAAGGACGGGAAGGATTTAGAGCGGATGAACGGTTTAAACGACACTCAGCACTGACATAGCAGATAGTATACATGGTCTTCAACAACGGCTACTTCGCGTACATTCATTCCCTCCAGACTAATTAAAAAAGTAAAAGTGAACGCGCACTACAATGGTGCATTCAAGGAAGTTGCTGTAATACATATATTCTACGAAACCTGCGTGATCAGTTTGAAGCTGTAGATTGACATTTGCCGTCAACTCCCCCCCTTCTCCTTCCATTTTTACACCGTCTCGTAGAATACTCATCGCAATCAATAGCAGCAGACACCAGCTCTGTCTTTTTGCACTAGTTGATGATTTCATTGTAAACCTCAAAACGTGTGAGTTATGTGTGTCTCAAAGAGAGCTCTATGTTCACATATGAGTATAGATGAGTGAGTGTATGCATGTACATTACATGAATGAGTGGGATAGTGAGTACAGTTGGATGGTATAAAAGTGACCACAATGGGCAAGAAAGAAAAAGGATATTTTTATATAAATTATAGTTTCCTGCTGTTGGTGATTTTGAATTTAGAGTCAAAAATCTAAAATTAAAAATGTTGAACTATAAATGTTTAAACTCATACTGATAATATGTTAGATTATATTTTACAAAAATCGAATGGAAGTTAAGATTTTTAACATTTTGTCTACTGTATTAAATAGACCATTTTTTTAATTTAGGATTTCTGACATCTAATTCGTAATCAGCCATCCAAAAAACGTACATATACATAATGTATCAATATTGATTCATCCTATCGCAAAATATACCGAGTGCGCACTATTGCGCATTGACGAGGTTAAATGTAGCATTAATCTGTCGCACTGTGCGGGTCTATTTTTATATAAAACGATATATTCTAAAACAATACATCTATGGTTGTGCCCTCTGAAATTCATCATTGCGCCATTGGACGTTGAGGGCTCTGTTTGATAGGTCAGACTTATTGACCCAAGAATTTATGATAGTTAAACTCTTCCATTCTTTTATTTATATGGCAGAAGTAGTAACAAACGTAACAATACTGGAAAAATTAGAAATAATATTTTTGTTGCGGTCGATGCTTAACCAATTTGAATTATTAATAAGAGAGAGTTGCACTGTGGTGCTTTATGGAATTGTATTTATTTTCTCTGTACACAAAATAATATTTCTAACTCCGTGTTTTATTGAGCTGCTACATCTGAATTTAAATTTACGAATCTTAAATCGCCATTTAGACAGCAGTATTAGAAGTAGACCGCCGTACTTGTTTGCCTTTCTTTTTATTAGCAATTACTGCCATTTTGTATTGTGCAGAGAACTCGTTTGTAGGTCATATGCTCCGTTCTTATTGAGACGATATTGTTCCTATGTATTAGGATTGAAAATTTTCCAAACTTTGTGAACGTACAATACAAGTTGGTTTATACATATTGTAGATATGTACAATGTAGTGTCCTAATAAGTTATAATCCTTAAATGAATTTTACTCATGCGTATTTATACATGTAGTCAATCCACGACATCAATGTAAATTTTAAAGGAATTTTTCACATTGAATGTCATAATAAAATATTCCTATCGAAAACATTTTTGTCGTGTATGGATTATACATGCATATATATTTACAAAAGAAAATATTATTTCCGTGTAGTAAATAGAATTCTTATTGAAAGAACATATCAAATTTATCTAGTATGCATTTTTTCATTATTTCTGTTTATTTTCTAGCAAAATGGTTTTACCACTACTTTCGTTACATTTTTCAATTCTTTATCTGTGGCACAAAAATGCGACCGGCACAAATGTAATTTTGTATATGATTTAAGAGTCGAGGCTATATACCTGAGATTATGATCGAAAAATTTAATACGTAATGAGAAAAAGCTTGCAAATATGAGACTCCTCTACTTTCCAAGGAGAATGTTTCTATGTATCGTTGAGTGTTGACATTGAACATCTTTTATCGTCGAATATTTTCTTTACTATCCATTTTGGTCTGCAATTGCGTAAAGTGAAACATACATAAAACATAAAATCACGTTCAGAACAAATTAATAAACAACGCGAGAGTGACGTAAGAGTAGTTTATTTACAATAACAGTATGTACATTTTTCTTGTACGCAGTGTATGGACTTATGCCAAGATGTTAACTTTTAAGCTTCTTTTGCATATGTGATTTTTTGAACTTATAATCAATTTATAACGTTAAAAAATCTATTTTTTACAAACGTTGCAAATGTAAATTATTATTACCAAAGAATACATGCGTTCAAGAAGTCATGAGATGTGTGAAATTTTTTTCAGCGTAATCTGTCGAGTTTGTCGTTTTATCGAGGATATAGTCATTTGAATTTTAAAAAACCAAATTCTTATTTGATTAGTTATTAATATCTTCGACACTGTAAATCAAAATTGAGTAACATCCTATTACATTTGTCGGCGGAACTGAACCTAAAATATTATACAGTAAATCAAACTTTTATATCTTCAAGCACAATGTCTTGTATGAAGACTCCATTTCATGTTGTGTTATTCAATTAGAAACTGTTTTATTTATATCAATTCACGCTAAATTAAGCTATTACAAATAATATTTCTTTGAAAATTATTAATTTCATATTCATATAACAAAAATAATGGGTGAGCACATATTTCGTTGTAGTCATCCTATAGCTTCAATGCTACATAATAATCATTAGGAATACTTATCTTCAATTTCAACAGTTTTTTTAAAAGTAAACTTACGGAAAAATAATAGCTAAAATATGTGTGGCTTTGAGCATCAAGAAGAGGAAATAGTGAAAGAGTGATTGGGTAAAAAATGTATAGTGTTTCAGGTGTTTAAACGCATTAAAAGTGTCACTAAAGTATAAAGTATTTTGTAGGACAGTCTATTACTAAATTCTTTAACCAATATTTTTATACAAATATTTATGAATGATGTACATAGTCGTAAAGGGTTTTAAACCACATATTGTAAAATTATTATAGTATATTTATATCATTCGGATTATGAACATGTGATAATAGTTTGCAAAAGCGGATTAAAAAATAAAACACTCCCGTATATTCTATGCGGTTGTGACTAAAAAATTGACTGTTTATTCATTGTATCCCATATATTGTATACGAAATATGACGCGAATATTTGGAATTCATGTCTCAATATGTTTCTAAGACTATTTGTTTTTGCCTAACGTGCATTGGTGCCTCGAAGGTCAGTTTATACTAGTATTAAGCAGAGTATACTCCCAAATTTGTTTTGTTGTTTCTGTTGTACTTCGGTATTTTATTTTATTTTCTCTGCCATTTTATATCTACTTTCATTTTGTCTACATACCCTATCACTGTTTATAACTTAACTGGACCAGTTACGGATGATACTTAGGCACTGCCACCATAGAACTGATTATGAATTCTACAGATATTACGACGAACACGAGGTTTCAAATGAGCCATAACGGTTGTAGTCGCTGCGGACGGTCAAAATAACGTTTTAACGAAAATAATTTGTGGAGAGTTTATATTTAGTATAATTGTAAATTAAAGTATGTATAATAAGATACTGATAAAAATCCACATTTTTAGGGACGCTCGCACTCGTGTGAAGAATAAGCCGAATAAAATCAGAGTTTTTACTGAATAAGTCGTACATAATTGCTCCTGCAATCAAAATAGTCGTTACTAATATTAGTGTATTTCATTCTCTACAAAAACTAATAGATATACTTAGATATCTGAGAATTTAAGGTAACGACAAAACAATGCGTTTAAAATGCTATGTAATAAGGTAAATTGGCCGAGTTGGGTAACATAACCCAGCTAACACATAATAGTTTAAGTAATATACTGTGACGAAAAATGTATAACACAATAATAATGTAGATGATAAGATAAGGAAAAGGTAAAGAGACTATGAGAAAAATATTCGGAATCATTCTAGAGAAATTCTAAGGCACCCGAATTATTCGTAGCGACACAGCTGATTTTTCATCTACAAATGACACTCGATACTCTGTCCTCCCAGACACGCGAAAAGGGATATCCGACTGGGCGCCAGACGTACAATTGCATCACGATATGAAATGCTAAAATGTTCAAAAGGGACAGAAATTGTACAATCGAGGTGCACCGACGATACGAGATGGTACAGGGGAAGTGAATGCACAGGTGTTAAAGGAAATTAGATTGAGAAATCACGAAATTCATTAACAAGAAGTATATCAAGTGGCGCTTTATTTGGGACTTTCAAATAAAATATAACAAAGCGAGAAAACAATAATGAAATAAATAATTTCAGGTAAATCACACAATACAAGAAATTTAACAAGACGCAATGTAAATAACTAAAGAAAAGATACTATTTAGTTGTTAGGTTGCTCTCGCGCGAAATTACATATTCGTCGGAATACCAGTACGCACAGGAGGGTTCGAAAAAGAAATTATACGGCGTACAAAAGTTTACGAAATAAAGTATCGGTAGCAATTTGTCGAGAGACAGATTACCTAGAGTATGTCGTAAGAGATAGATACAAAAAATCGAAAAGATATGAGCTAGAAAGGTTCACAAAATATAAGAAAAGATATGAAATATATTACTAAACTTAATGAAAAGACGATAGATGAGCTTCCGAGATACGTGGCTCAAGTACTTATTCGTTGAACAGGTTCTCCAGGGTCGTCGAGGCATGAATCTACAGTCAAATATACAATGAGCGAGTACAGAATTTATAACCAGAAGGCACTGAATATGTTCCTTCTGATAATACACGATTTCCTCTTCTCGGTATAAATTCATGATATTGTAAGAGACTATATTTTCAGGCGTGACAGGCTAAGACGACATGCCAGTAGACTTCATAATACAATACTTGAATATTACAATTAAATTCGCCTTTCATTCTTCACGAAAAGGTCGCAACAAAGTCAATATATAATTGACGAAGCCTTACTGTAATCAGTGATACCAATACGTAAACGGACGGCTTTAAAAGTTTAACGTCACGTGTAATCGGTAGAACCGGGTTCAGAAAGATGTCAGAACTCCCTGCCGTAGCTTAGGAGTTGTTTCCGACAGTAATCTTCGTCTGAACATTGTTGCGACGATTAGATGGCGGAGATTCATGACTTTCAGGGTAGCTCTGCTGGTTCCCCTTCCTCTTCGATACGCACGTGATGGCTCCATTTCGAGACATCCGTACCGGCGATATCGAGAAGAAGCATGATGGTTCAGGACGGTATCTTCATTGTGGTCGGAGCCCCTACTTAATTCAAGGGCTGTCGGTGGTGGGGTAAAGGCATCGGTTGGTATCAACTCTCCTCTACTATCCATGGTATAGACTGGTGCGACCTTTCTTCCAGCGAAGTGGAATCTCAGGATGTGTTAAGCGGATACAAAACGCATGAAATATTGTTAACAGTAGAATAATTTAATTTTGATAGATTTAATAATCGAGACTTTGGAGTTCTTGACCGGTACACCAAAGTAATACGATAACAAAGGACCGTACTACGTCCCGCTCGATAAACACGACAATGACCTATTTGAGATCCTGTAACGCGAAATATTACATTAAATTTACATATTACATGTAAGATACATGCAAACTATTAATTTCTACTCAAATACGTAACACGTTACATTCATCTTTGTTATAAGGAGATAATGAATTTATATAAAAAAGATGAATGTGACGTGCTACATATTTGAGCAGAAATTAATAGTTTGTATGTATCTTACATCTAATATGTATTTTATTTAACCCTATGTAACCCTATTTTCAGTTATGAGAAATAGTGTAATTGAGGGCGAGAGAATTGTACAGTATGACAAACATACTTATAATTCTGGTAACTGTGAATTTTAACCCTTTCGTTACGGCGATCCGCTCCGCTAGAGTGACGTCACTGAATGGGGCGCCGCGCCGCAAAGTGTGCACATTGCATGTCCGTAGTTCTCGGTGCTCGTACTTACGTCTTTCAACGCCACCTTGGGATTCTCTTGTATGTACACTTTTTTAAGAGCTATATGACAACTGTTTCGTCGTATTATATAAGAAACATGAAAACGAGTATATTTTATAAATATTCAGTTATTTACATATTTACAGATTTTGCTATTATTATAAATAAAAACAATTTAGGGTAGGTATTAGAGTGGTTGTTAAATAGTATCTGAGCTAATTTCGATCGTGAGTCCCCCTAAATCGTTTCCATATAGATAAAAAATAATCCCTGCATTTTTTCAGATTTATTTTTTAATATTTAACTTTCTTCCACGAGGGTTGAAGTTTTCCATTTAAAGTTTTCAAGTTTTTACAGTCAATATTTGAGAACTGCAATCTTCGCGGGGGGGGGGAGGAAGGTAAATGTAAAATAAAATCTAAAAAAAATTCAAAGATTGTTTAAAATTTATTTGGAAACGATTTGGGGGGTGGGGGAGGGGTCACGATCGAATTTCGATCAGACACTATTTCACAACCTACCTAATGTACGTACTTGACATTATACGAGTTCAATATTTTTTTTTAGTAAAACAATAATGCATGACATAAATATAAGTATTTCCTTTTAAGGTGGGGAATTTACAGCAATCCTGTACTTGGCGAGGTTTTTTATATGAGTCTTTTTTTGTGGGGGATATCACAAGATTTTGTTCTTCTAGTTATATTAAAGAAATTCTAGGCATATAATACCCGCATGTGAAATGAATTCCTTGCAATCATACATCTTTTTAGATTTTCCCTTCGTCCTTCATTATTTTTGAGAAATTTTAAGTCAGATGCTATCATATATGAATCTTCTATTCTGAAGAAAAATTCGACTGCCAAAGGTTAAACCAAAATAGATCAAGTAAAACCGCACCATACTGCGAGATTGAAGAAAAGATATTTCTTAACACAGTCACATATTTCAATATAAATGGATATACTTTCGAAAGACCTCCACCAAGTAGAACGTAGCCCATCTATTTACATATTTAATTTTAAGGCCAGAGTAACCTTAGATTCAAAGTTTCAGGAGCGGTTTATGTTTTTCCTGTACTTTTCTGTACATGGTCTACACATGAATGGTCGGTTCTGATTTTCGTGAGGATTAAAGGTTTAATTAATAATATTATACTGTTATGACGGCAGCTTTATATTATTCGAACATTCGATGTGATCAGTAGTTTAACGCATAAAATATGTTTATTTGTTACGTCCTATGCGTGAGCGACCGTATGCGGGAGCATCAGGGAGCTAGCATAGGTGTTGAGATCAAAGATCACGTAAAAGGTATTGGGTTCTTGCCACTTTAAGGTGCTAAAGCACGCCTATTTGCGTTCATGTCCCTTGGTCGATAGTTAAGATGAGGATCACAAACAGGTACTAGATATATTGAATCGGAAAACTCACTTCTTCTACGTGAGTGTGATTGATGCTACTAACTAATGGTTTATTTGGGTCTAGGAGCTAATAGGTTCAGGTCTCGAAATCAAGAGGATAAAATATGGTTTAACTCAATATAATAAATGATAGATTAGAATACATGTAGTCGTTACAGTAAGATGTAGGAGAGAGTATATTAATCTACTAACATAGCGAAATTCGAATAGCACTGTATATGTGATCGTCGACTTGTGTAATATGGGTTACAAAGATAGATAGATATATGTAGGTGTAGAAATGTGAGTTACTTACCGGTGGATGAGCAGAGGAAGAGAGAGAGACGGCGCTCGGTTCTCGACGATAGCGAAAGTAGATTTGGTTGAATGGGAAATTCTTGGTCCAGCCCTAAGGTGGACACTCGCCTAGACGAATGCTTATTAAAATGCCAAGAATTGAGTTCTTTTCGCGTGGACGTTCGGCACTGAAGTGATACACTTTTCGCTTGGGTCCTAAGGCAAGCTAGATCAAAATAGGCCCTAGGGTATTTGATCGGCACAACACTTAACTGGCGTGAACAATCGGCTCAAGACTCAAAAAGGGATACTGCTCTACCGGAGGATTGATTAGTAACTGAGGATGATCTGCATTGGAGTTCGTAAGGAAGGTTTTGAGTTTGGAGGGGATTGAATGCAATGTTAGGAAATATCTTGGAATTTGGATACATATTGCGGCATGATTGGGGCAATCGAACCCTGCCGTTCGATCGATTTCTCATTGCAGACCTTCGATCGCGGATTCTTCGTTGGATTAGTGCATTGTCAGGATTATCTTGGTGGTGAGGTGGGTGCGAAGGTGACGGGTAGGAGTTCTGCTGTGCGCGGTATTCGCGGTGCTATGATGAAAATGCTTTTTAGGCACTTCAATTCTGGGTATCTTATTCAGCATTTTTGCCCGTGCCGTTCTTATTCTTTGATTGCGGTGATCTCTCTCTCTCTCTACTCGTCCACCTGCAATGTCGCAATATTGGTGTGATTTTTGAAATCTACCCATCCACCTGCAATGTCACAATGTTGGTCTGATTTCTGAAAATGTGTGGAAGTATGAGATGTCGTGTACAGTATAATATAATATGATGATATCCCTTAATTATTAATATATATGTGTAAACTTATGATTTACAATAATTAACACATGTTCGCTGAGGATCGGTTACATCTATCGTGGTCTCTGACCGTTGCCAGTGGGGTTCTGAGGGGGTACTGAAGGGAGTTGCGTTGCGTCGGACGTAACATATTCATGTTATGTATCGGTGAATCGTCAGCGTGGTCCGTTGTTCAAGAAGGTAAGAAGCCGCCAGCGCCGTCTTTCGTATAAAAAAGTAAATGACACACAAAATTCTTTAATTTCAGTGACAATTGATTCAGAACCCTTTATTCCTATAATGAATGTTTTAATTATTACTTTTTCTTGTATATACCAGTTCATAAGATATTTGATTCCAAACACACGTACATACAAGAAGCAGGTACTGCTGCCCGCTGTGTACGGTGTAAACCGATCGTTTTCAAAACAAGTGATCACCGGCTTCTCTTTAAATCTTTCGGGAAGCCTATCACCTGTGATATGCATCGTTAATCAAGATTATTCCGGCGTGGAGTTTGAACCTACCGAATGGGCAATCATCACCGACCGCTTCCCCGTCATCGGCAAATTCTTTACCGCCGAGGATAACATCAAGGAGGTACCCGAGGCTTTTAACACTCCTATTCTCATGCCCACTCATGAGCTCGCCTTCACGTACTCTTACGGTGAGCGGGCAATTATTATCAAACCGGCAATGCCGGTGTCTACGGACAACGATGGCTTGGGTATTAAAAGAGCTAGGACATACACACCTACGGTTTTCATGAAGAGGGTGTCCTACCTCAATCTCCAGAGGGTCCTGCGCTGCGTAACCTTTCAAATAACCAGGCTACGCGAGATTACCGACAGCGCTAACAACTGTAAGGACACGCTGATTGCGGAACTCGACCGTCGCGGAGATGACACCTCCTCCAGGGACAACATATTGGGTGATCTTCGGTTGGTTCTGGAGAAGAAAGGCCTGTGGTCACCGGCACTTAATCAATTATTGTTGGAGCTGCTGTCCCTGTATAATCACGAGTACCTTTCCTTCGTGCGGAGCACCATGGAGGACCAGAACAGCTATAAATAGGGCCTTTTTTTTGTAATAAAAAAACTGTACGCTTGATGTTTCTTGCAAAATGTGTATAATATATTTTTATTTAAAAAAACTGTTTTTTTTTTTGTTTCCTGCACCTCCATCTCCCCATATCTTCTCAATAATTTATAAAGCATTAAGCGTATTCCGCTGTACGTTGTTGTTATTCGACGCTGCCGTACACCTGCAGGG